GATCTTGGGCACGCACGCACACGCACCTGGCATGAGTTTTAAGCCACCGGGTCCGGGACGCAAACTGCGGTCAACTACATGGGAGTCCAGCAACATAGCCATTATGCTAACTACTGGTCCCGGAGAGTCATTGTTTTTTATATTAGGGAAAATGAAACAGAGTGGTAATCATTTTATATATATGCTTAAATATAAATATTTTGGGGTATATATACATTAATGGTTTAAAATATGTTAACTGATTCTTAAAGTGTAATTTTTACTTATTAAAAAGTTTTTTTGGGGGGGGACCAGCAGTTAGCGTAATGGCTATGTCGCTGGATTCCCACGTAGTCAAACGCGGTTCAAGTCCCGGACCCGGTGGCTTAAAACTCACGCCGGGCGCGTGTGCGTGCATGCCCAAGATCCCAAGAGGAGAATAGAAGAGAAGGGATTGCGGAGTGGCCATCCCCCCTGGGGAGGGGTTTCACGCGTTCTGCCTCTCTGTTTCTCTCTGTCTGGCGAGCGCACGTGCCCTATTGCAAAAACCTCTCCAAAAAAAAAAAAAAAGTTTTTTTTTTAAGATAACTGTTATGTATCATTAGCACTTAAATCACTATTACTGAGTTACATATTAACTAAAATTCATTGTTCTAATTACACCTTTCTTGATAAATGTATTGTAAATTATTGTAATAGGGGGAGATTTGTTTACCAAAATTCCTGATTGATTGAGTAATGAATTGTGAATGGTAGCATCCGAGATGATCTGCTTATTACACAGCCATTTTAAAGTTTCTGCATTGTTGTATTTCATTTTTTTTAAGAGATATTTTTTGTTGTATGGGGCATGTGCTCACCAGAGCAGAGAGAGAAAGTAAGAACTCATCACCAGAGGGAATGGCCACGCTGAAATTCCTTCTCCTCCATGCCCCTCTTGAGACTTCGGACACACACGTACATATGCCTGGCGTGAGTTTCAAGCTGCCAGGTCTAGTACTTAAACCATGGTTGGCCATGTGGGAGTTCAGTGTTGTAACCACTCTTTCTGTCTTTCTGGTGAGCGCACGTATCCTATAGCAAAAACCTTTCCAAGAAAAAAAAAGGAAATAGTGGGATACTATATTTCAATTTGGAATGTCTACATTTAATCCTAAAATTAATTACTTTGCAAAGTCCAAAAGTTTTTACTTTTTTAAAATATGAAGACTGAGCAACAAAACATTAATCCAACATTTCTAGATGATTAAAGGTCTGATTTTAGAACATGCTTATGTCGGGACCAGCAGTTAGTGTAATGGCTATGTCGCTGAACTCCTATGTAGTCGACCGTGGTTCGCATCCTGTACGCGGTGGCTTAAAACTCACACCGGGTGCGTGTGCGTTCATGCCCAAAATCCTGAGAGGAGAATGGAGGACAACTGATTGCGGCGTGGCCATCCCCCCTGGTGGGTGATTTCTTGCTTCCTGTCTTTCTGTCTCTCTCTGTCTGTCTGGCGAGTGCACGCTCCCTATGGCAAAAACCTCTAAAAAAAATGCTTATGTTAGTGTTTAAACTTGAAAAAGTTACTATTTGATTTATTAAGCATTTTTTTGAGAGATTTTCGCTATAGGGCACGTGCGCTCGCCAGACAGACAGAGAGAGACATAGAGACAGAAAGCGAGAATCACCCCCCAGGGGAGATGGTCACGCTGCAATCCCTTCTCCTCCATTCTCCTCTCGGGATCTTGGGCACG